AGAGTATGGGATGGAAACCCAAAGGTCAAAGTGGAAAACACCTTCAAAGATGACAGAGAATGACGGAGCCAAGATCCTGTGGGACTTCCAGATCCAGAGGGACAGAATGGTAATGGCAATTACCATTGTGGTTGACATAGCAATACCAAGTGTCTGCAACATCAGGAAAAAGGAACACGAGAAACTAGAGAAATACCAGAGGATCAGAGAAGAGCTGGAGAAAACCTGGCCGGTCAAGGCATCAGTGTTACCCGTGGTCATTGGGGCACTCGGGGTAGTGACCCCCACCTTGAGGAGTGGTTACAGCAGGTCCCTGGAAATACAGCAGACCTCTCAATCCATAAAAGTGCAGTTCAAGGAACAGCAAAGATACAGCACAGAGCCCTCAAGCTCCCAGGGGGAGGACCCAAGCTTGGAGGGAAAGTATTTAAAAAATAAATTAATAAAAAACAAAAGTTTTATTTTTATTTATTGATGAAGAAAAGCAAGGATGTTTGGGACATTCTCTGGCACATATTCAGAGCAGCTTATTTGATAAAAACTCCAACCAAAGCTGAGTTTTATACATATATCAATAGTCAGACAAACAGATATTCGTTCAAAACGTAACATCAGGAATTGATTGGGTGGTTTTGTGACATGAGCGATTTTTTACTTCAAAGCAACACGTGGGGGCGACATACTAAAAACTGATACTAACCAAGAAAAATGCGAACCGGAAGTTGTTTGATTTGTGCCATGCCGCTCCATCAAAGATCTTATGTTCAGATAATCACTCCTTAACATTTTTACACCCATAGTCACTTTTGCTAAAAAAAATATGAAGCACGGCAAAAGATATGCCTATTACCTGCTACATATAGCGCTTTTATTAATTTAGATAATATGGCTGTGTTAATGTTAAGTATTTGACACAGGCTTGCGTTTATTTGGAGACAGGAAGTGGGCAGATTTGGGATGTGGAGTTTGAAACAGAGTGAGCGCTCTGCAGTTTTTTCCTCTCCTGGATGTGATGAAACAACCTTTAGATTTTCGCTCATCTCCTCTGGCTTTGACAGCTCTGATGGAGCCGTTCAGCGGTTTCTGTGCATAAACTCAGCCGCTGACGGTGGAATCGATGAGACATCATTCCTGTAAACCAAGGGACTTTAATGCGGCATGGATGCTAGCAACGGTCAGCTGCTCACAGGGTCACCGTTACTCCTAATGTTTGACACACAGACTCCAAAATTAACCTGATGCTCCACTTTGACCTAACCTCTGTCCTGTGAGGTTTGTATAACTAAACAATAGTCTGTTTTGTCATTTTAGCGTAAAAAGTTAGGCCCGGGGCGGATTCTTAAAAATAGTAGTTATCTTTGAATTGGCCTCGAGCAAAAAAACAAACAAAAAACCCTAACATTTGTTTTAGTAAAAAAAAAAAGTCACAGCTAGAAAATAAATAACTTTCAACCCTTTTTGTTGAAGTGTTAAACATGTGGTTCGCAAAATTTGAATGCTGAACAGAGAAGGGCATTTTGGCGCCCTCTGGTGGAACTTCTTTGAAAAACAGAAACGGGTTAAGCTGGCCTCTTTTCTATGTAGAACACCCTTTGTTTGGTTTGCATGGAAGGAACACTGTCTTTATAATTTTACATATATTTTTTTATATGACGTTAAGAAGAGATTAAATGTAATTTTTATGCAAATATGTTATTTGCATTTTTAAATCTAACATTCAATTTTTATAACCAGAACACTGCGGCTCAGGGTGACTAGTTACTGAAACCCTCTCTTGCATGATCACAGCTGCAAGTGTTTGAAAAAAAAAAATCAGTATGTCAGCTGCTGCTCTCTGACCCGATCCAATCCTGACGTGAGGCCCACACATTCCTGCAGACAGACAAGTATTGAATAACTGTTCATAACTGAAGTTCTGTAACAAATTCTGTCCCTTTTTTGTCCTTAGGTTGCTGAAAGAAGGAGAAACCTAATCTGATAACCATGCCTCCACACCCCGTGGTCCAGGCTATCATTGATCTCTCTGCAGGAGCAATAGGTATAAAAGTAATTTTGCGTTTTCTGACTTGACGGCCACAGAGTTCTGTGTATTTCATTAGGATTTATTTTGATAGACCTACTAAAATGTGTGCTCAATTATAAGGTTCATACTTTGTTATGGGATCCTTTGCAAAAACAGCTGCAAATATTTACATATTTAGAGCCTGAAGGTTTAGCAATTTCTTTATAAAACAGGAAAATTAGGTGGGGAGAAGGTTTGTGGAGATTTGCTTTTTGAACAGATTTTGGAGTGGACTTGGACTAAACCTTTCTGAAATTAAAATGTTCATTGAATTTTCATTGAATTTTATTTCATTTAAAAATAACTTATAAAATTCATACACTTGCTCCCAAATCAACGCATCCTGACTGAAAAGAAGCAAAGAAATCAGTCTTATTATATCTGCCCTTTAATTAATTTTACAACAGCCCTGCATCAGCTCCTTTACAGTATTTAGATCCATCTTGTTTTGGTTATCGGGAGTATTTTCTGTGATTACATTTTACAGTATTTACATATTTAGATAAATCACAACATAATACCACCATTATGTCCTTGATCTTTCCCTAACATTGTAGTTTTAATGTTTGTTTAAATGCCATCATCCTGGATTAAGTCCATTCCACAAATTATTTCCTTTTACTGCCTTTTCTCTTATTTTCTTTTAATATCTGTTCATGTCAGTTTATAATGACTTTCTATTTTTTCAAACCATTCTTAGCTGTTAACTGTCAATATTTTTCTATTTATTTGATACAAAACCTGGAGACTTTTAATGACCTACTAAATCATGGAATTTTAATAACTTTAAGAAAAAAAAAGGAGGAAATTGTAGCACTAAGTTGAAATATGCAGTGTAGTTAAAGATAATTTAGTCAGACACCTGTTTGTGTAAGTTCTAGGTGAGAGAGGTCTATAATCTTCATCATAGCTTCACTGTGAAAGACAAAATGAGGAAAACAAATCCAGGAAATCATACAGTTCATTTTTTTTTTTTAAAGAATGTATTTGTAAATCTAATGTTCTCACTGATGGGAGAGGTTTTTTTGGTTTAAATCTTCACCTTAAGGTGGTCGACTGCCTCCATCTAACTCGCCTCTCACCGTCCTGATTTCTCCCAGATCCGTCTGCTGATCTCCATCATGTTTTTGATGCTATTTATTCACTAATGTCCTCTGAAAACTTCCATGTCATCAAATTACAAACTAGTTGCTTCACTTTCAGGGTTGTTTGTGAAGGTAACTGGTTCTGACTGATTGTATAACAGAAACCAGAATGAACAGGACTGGATAAATGCAATGACTTAGACCAACAGTGTGGAAAAAAGTATTTTATTCTCCACCTTTGTTGCTGTTCTGCACTAAAGTCCCAAAACAAAGCGCATTCAGAATGAACACAGGGTTCCTGCAGATCCTTAAAAAGTCTCAAAAGCGATTTAATATAAAAATAAGGCCTTAATTAGTATTGAAATGTCTTAAATCAGTCTTCATATGTCTTAAAATTGTCACCAATTCATAAATAGGATAAATTTTGTAATTCATATCAAAAATTTAAATAATTCACGATAATTTTTTGACATTTACCGAACGGCCAGGTGATGTGTTTGAGGAATGGCGTATTTTGAGCGAGAAGTTATTCAAGCTGGAACGATGGGAATTAAAGCTGTGGAGTCAGACATGTGAAGAGTGAAAAACAAAGCACTGAAATTAAGTTACAGAGAAGCAACAGCTATTTCTCAGTTCTGTTCCACCCTTGTCTCTTCAAGGCCTCTACAGCCATATCCGACGTTAAAAACAGAACCAGTAGCACCAAATCTCCGGATGTTTGGTGGTTCACCTATAATGAAAGCAGAGCAATTATGTATATATCTGTTATTGGTGTGTTTTTAGCTTTCTTCCTATATGGAACGTTTTTCAAAATGTAAACATTTCTACTGGGCCAGAAAGTAATGGTTTATGTTAAAATAAGCATTAGGATAAATTTGGTTATCTTGTGTTTGGGAAGTTGGTCATAAAGCTTTATTTCAAGGGACAAAAAAGTCTTGGATTTAACTTGCCTTATGTTTTAGAAACTCTGGAACATGTTTGTGTTTTCAGTTGTAGAAATGGGTCCAGAGCTGGATTTAGTGAAGAGATGTTAAAAACTAGCTGCTCACATTTTGACCCCCCCTCCCCTTCTGTTGCAGGAGGAGCCGCCTGTGTTTTCAGCGGCCAGCCTCTGGACACGGCGAAGGTGAAGATGCAGACCTTTCCCACTCTGTACCGGGGGTTCGTGCACTGCCTGGTGTCCACCTATAAACAGGTGGGCATGCGCGGCCTGTACCGGGGAACCACGCCCGCGCTGATGGCCAACATCGCCGAGAACTCTGTGCTCTTCATGAGCTACGGCTTCTGCCAGCAGGTCATCCGCTTTGCAGCTGGGCTGCATAGAGAAGCTGTGCTGAGGTAGGATGAGCTTCATTGCTATGGTAACCGGTCAGAAAACACATCTACCTGTCAAATATCTATCTATCCTAATTATTCTCTCTATTAGCGACATGCAGAAGGCCTGTGCCGGCTCAGTAGCTTCCATCTTCTCCTCGCTCGTTCTCTGCCCCACTGAGCTCGTCAAGTGTCGACTACAAGCCATGCATGAGATGGAGACGTCCGGCAGGATTGCTAAGAGCCACAAGTAAGAATGTTTTCTGCTTTTATTGTCTCAACGTGGTGTAATAAGTTTTAGTAAAAAAAAACAACCCGAGACGATATCTATTATGTGCTCCGGTCATAGGCAACACCTTAAACACTGGGGATGATTCTGGCAGCATCATGCTGTGGGCTGCTTTTGTTCTGCAGGAATAAAGGAAGCTGGTCAGAGAGGAAAGGGAGATTAAAAACAGAGGAATATTTGCAGAAAACAGTCAACAGCTGCAAAACGATGCAGGGTTAATCTCCCAGCAGCTACCAGGAAATACGACATACTCCGCGTTTCATTCGCTCCCTCCCCCATACCGAACGGCACAGATTGCAAGCTTACAACATCCCATAACACGCAGCAGAAAACACAGCTTTTAACTTTTCCAAGGGCAGGTTTATTTCTATTGAACATTACAGTGGAAAAATGATTCAAAGCTCTGAAAATGAGAAAAAAAACCAAAAGGGGTTAGAGGCAACAGAAAAAATGGAAGAGAACAAAAGTGATGCATTGAAATGAGACAATTATATATATATATAAAAAAGAATAAAAATAAAGAAAATTGAGCAAAAGTCAGACTGAATTTATTAGGGTTAATAATGATAATAACCCCTTACTGTCCTAGAAATAAAACCAACAGAAAACGAGTGACTTTTCTGCAAAGAGGGAGAGCGACTGGAGATCCACTGAGAAGTCTGTGGTCAACTCTGCCGGGACCGCTGCTTTTATTATCGGACTTCAAAGGAGTAACAGGAGGGGTCAGAAGTGTTCAATCACCTGCAGCATAGCTGGATGAGACCAGACCCTGAGAGAAATATTTTCTCTCCCCGTTTGAAGTCAAAACAACACTTAACATTCCTAGCAGGCCATATGCCTGTAACTTAGTACAAATAAAATGAAATTTACATTTTTATAACATAAAACTTGACTAATAATGTTTAGATAGCTCAGTTAAAGGTCACTCTAAACAAATTTATAATCTGGATTTAATGAACCTGCTAGTTTCAGCACTTTTAATGTTTTTTGATAGTTTATTCCAGAAAAATAGAGATTAATAACTAAAAGTGTCTTCTCCATGTTTGGTTCTGGTTCTGCAGAGATCTGATCCAGTAGACCTGAGAGGTCCAGCTGTTGATCCACTGTCTAATCCTGAGATATGGGAGGTCAGTGGAAGGACTTTAGAACTGGGCTGATGTGCTCTACTAATTTACTTCTAGTGAGGATGCAGGCAGCAGCTCTCATCCACTTCTTAGACAGAGCTGTAAGAGCACAGCTGCAGGGATCAGTTCTACTAAAGATGGACAAAGCAGGAATCAGTTTATCATTGTCCAGCTGAGACATTAGTTCTTTAATCCTGGAGATGTTCTTCAGGTGATAGAAGGACAACTCTGTTCCTGCCTTTATGAAGGTTCAGGTCTGAGTCCATCACTACAGAGCCTGAATGCTGCTTTCTAGCTGGATTAACTAAAGCTGGGTGCTAACTTTGAAACACTCTTCTGAAGAACATTTGGTTCTATCAATGCTTTGATTTCTTCTCTGCATTTGCCCACAGCTGGAATGGGTTCATAGTCACCTGTTGATGTACAACAAGGTGTCGTCTGCATAGTGATGGTAACTGATGTTGTTTATTAAGATGTGTGTTAGAGGTAGCATGTAGATATTGAAAGGGAGGGGACCTAAGATGGAGCCTTGGGGAACACCACATATGGTTTTTGTGGCCTGTGATGTAAAGGGACCTACTGACACAAAAACATCCCTATACTTCAGGTAGGATTTAAATCTGTCCAGTTCTGGACCAAAGAACATTGGTCAAGCCTTTAAGCGTCGGCGCCGACTTAAGCAAGCAGGGGGGCTCATAAGGCACGCTTAACTTTAGGTCAGGTAATCTTAATGTTTAGCATTAGTGGCAAACTACGAAAAAAGAGAGGAGAGCTTGTGTGAGGCACTTACTGGGAGGGAGGAGTTACACCTGTGGCTAGATAAGATAAAGATTGAGGTAATTGTGCTTGATTTGTGTCTGTTTTCTCTGAAGCACTGTTTGGTCGGTGGTGAAATCCATCATGAGGAACGAGGGCCCGCAGGGGTTCTTCCAGGGACTGACCACCACCATAGCCAGAGAGGTGCCTGGCTACTTCTGCTTCTTCGGTGCCTACGAGCTCTGCAGGACTGGATTTGCAGACTACATGCAATGTGACAAAGACGACATAGGTACGTGCAGCAGAGCGTTTTGTTTCTATGCAGACTGGCGTTGATTTTCCCGCCGGCTGTGTGTGCTGCAGGTGTGGCTCCCATCGTCTTCAGCGGCGGCTTCGGAGGGGCGTGCCTTTGGCTGGTGGTCTATCCTATGGACTGTGTGAAATCTCGGATTCAGGTCATGTCCATGACGGGAAAACAGGCTGGGTTTTTCAAAACCTTCATGACTATCGCTCGCTCTGAAGGTATGCACAACCAGGAAACAAGAGGAGATACAGACATGCATGTCTTTCCAGAGTTTAATCAGAATCCATGTTTTTATCTGTGTTTAGGAGTGAGAGCTCTGTACTCCGGCCTCACCCCCACCATGGTCCGCACCTTCCCGGCTAACGGAGCGCTCTTCCTGGGCTATGAGGCCAGCAGGAAGCTCATGATGAAGCAGTTCGACAGCTGAACTCCATTAAGCTGCTACACTCCCTCTATGTTACTGCCGACGACACAGCTGCTTTGATGTTTCCTTAACTTGATGTTAAATATGTTTTAAAACTCGGTTTTGTTTGACAGCGTCAGACTGAACAAAGCCGTGCAGTGAAACTGTGACACTCCAGCTGGTGCTTTCACTCCTACCTCTACAACATCATGGCTGCATCAAAAATCATCTCATCGGGAGGAAGTGGGACGCTTCCTATCATTGCTCCTTAAGCATAGGGAGCTAATGACCTTTTTATCTATTGTTAAGGTGCTATAAGGAATCCCAGAGTCCTTTGCGTGAAACGATGAATAAGCACAGCCCAGTCAAGCATTATCCATGTACTCAGATGACTTTGGACACGCCTTTCTCTCTCTGCCAGAAGACGTGTTGTGTTGAGAAAGACATTTTATTTTGATGCAGTAACTCCTCTTTAAAACTCATAGCATAAAGGCGTTATAAAAAATATCACTAAGTGTCATATAACGTGATTCAATTGCTTTCAGATCCGGTTAGATGATTTTGTTTTCTTTAAACAGACTTCTTGTTGAATTTGATTCGACTTTTTCCAGGAAAACAAGAAAATATTTTGACGGAAAATATTTCTTTTCATTACAGATTCTGTTTTTTTTTTCTTTTCTTACCTCACTCTCATTTCAATCCCTATTTTTGCACGTTCTCTCACTCTTTTTTCTTTCTGTTACTCCATCATTTATCCTTTCTTCATTATTTTTAATCTTTAAACCAGTGAAGTTTCTGTCATCCAGGTGACGATCAGGCTTAAAAAGTTCAGTTGAGGCAAATAGACATGAAGTTTTCTAGAAGATGTTTCTCCTCTCATCCAAAAGGCTTCCTCAGTTCTTACTAGTGGTTGGGAGCACTGAGATTAAAATTCTGTAGGTGGAACAAAGAAAAGAAACAGTGGCTCTGATCCCTCCTACTTGAATGTCCATGGAGGTCACCAGGGGACTGTTAATGGTCGCCAGGGGGTCTGATGGGTCGTTAACTCCCTCGTCAGAGTGGTTTTGGTTACATGCCTCATTGAAGTGAGTCAGGTGAGGGCAGGTGATGAATCTTCTGGGTATTGTTCCTAAAAGTTCTTTGTAAGTGTGTGAAAGGTTATGTTTAAGACCACCTCCTCTGTTAAGAAATGGTTTTTCCAGGTTAAAGAAGATGGCTTCTTTAATCCCTCTTTCAAACCATCTTTCTTCCTTGGTCAGAATGTGGACGTTGTCCTCAAACCAGTGTCCTTTAGCCTTCAGGTGTAGGTGAACCACTGAGTCCTGTCCTGAGGAGTTGGCCCATTATGTATTGAGCCATGCGCCTGCATAGTGATTGCTTGGTCTCTCCAGCCTAAAAGTGTGTGTACTCTTCACTACACTGAACAGCGTAAACCCCGTTGTCGACCTTGTTTCTTCTTGAAGGCAAAGGGACCCAGTGCTGGTTGAAAATCCTCCTGAGTTTTTCAGAGACTCCAGCATCAAAGGGAATGATGGTTTTCCTTCTTCTGTTTTTTTCTCCATCAGCAGAATCTTCTTGTTGGTTTTTAGAAAGGTCCATCTGAGATAACCACAGTTCTTCAGGGATGTCCTAATGTGTCCCTGTCTTCACTTTATGTCCAGCTGCATAGGCTGAACTTTTTTAAGCCTTGTTTTTACTCTTTATTTTCCATCTTTTTATTTATTTTACACGCTTTTCATTGTTTTAGGCTTTAAATAAGAACTACGAAAGATAAGGACTGAGTAATGCCTTACCTCCATCTTTATCTTTATTGCCTTCTACCCTGCCATCATTGTACCTGACCTTTTTATGGCCTATCTTTCCTTCCTTAATTTCTTATTTCCTCTTATTTCTCATCCTTACTCTTTTTCTTTCCCTGCACCGTCTGTGCCTCCACTTTTTTTTGCACTTCTCTTCCATTTTGTGTCCTTCCTTGCTCCTTCATCCTTATATTTGTCTCCCAGTAGTTTCGTATTAAAAAAACAACAGAAATTACTGAGAGCTGTTAAAAACTGAACCTGGATTTAAAAAAAAGTAGCATCTTTGCATAAAGACGTATTTGCTGCTTTAAAGGAACCTTAAAACATTACTTATCTTACTTATGTTTTAATGCCAATAAACCTCCTTAAACCTTTGCTATAGTTTTAAGTGTTTTTAACCTGCAAGATATTAAAATCAGCCGATAAAAATTTTAATTTAGAGACATTTCTATCATGAAGTTTATGCTAATTTGTTTATCTTTATTTGCAGGTGTTTACAGTGTGTATTTTTTGCCATAAAGAAGAAATAACTAACAGAACATCAGCTGCCTCTCCTGCCCTTGATTTTTGTGTTTTTTATTCAGTGCTTTTATTTTCTAATCAGTGTATATTAGAGATGTTTGTTTTCAATGTATATTTATACATCAAATTTAATTGGTGTTGAATGGATACAAGAGGACCTTAGATTTTTTCCTGTGCTTTGTTTTAAATCAGTTTAATATTGAGATACAAAAATCAGATTTCACAATTTCTTTATTTGACAAATTGCAATTACAAAAATATGTTTTAAAGCTGCCTAAAAAAATACATCATATTTCTTTTACCACAGTTGTTCTGGTTTGTGTGTAAAACATTAAAATGTAAAAATAAAAAGAAATTTAAGCCAAATGATTATCTTGGTTCATTGAGCAGGTTTAACTGATGTGTTCCTGAATTCTTTAAAGCAGCACCTTTGCACATGCAGATAAAATCAAACCGTCATACAGCTCAGAATGTTAATGTGTTAGATTCTCTGCCTCTTAGGAGTTTACCTCCTTTAAGTGATAAAATGTTGAATCTGGACTAGAGCAGAAAAAAGTCCTTTCTTCCAAACAGAACAGTAAAAAATATTTTTTAAAAATTGTATTTTAGAATAAACCTTTAGAAGGCTCTACTGCATCTATGATCACTGGAGCTAATAATGTAAGAAGCATAAAATAGGCAAAAAATGTAAAAAACAAAACAAAAAAACAAATTCCATTCAGAGCAATACTCCCTGCAGCCTTTACTTAGCTGTCAACTTTTAACTGAACAGCAGGGGGCGCCCATCACAAACTCACAGCTGCTGTGAAGAAAAAAAATATCAGAAAAAAAATTTTAGTCTATCAAAGATTAACCAGATCCTACAGCAGAATATAGCATTAAAGCAACACCACGTTTTACTGTTAAATCTCACATTGGCAGGTTTCATTTGTGTATTTATATGTAATGCACATGATCATTCTTTTAAAAATGTAATTTAAGTGTTATATAAATCAACAAAGACCTTCATTTTCTATGTGGTGAATAATTAACTTCAGTCTGCTTTTCATTTAAATTTAGAATTGATTTTGTTTTTAGCTTAGAAAGAGAATGATAAATGATTTATAGATTCATTACGCCCAGAGTCAATTATTGCAGGTGCAAATCTCGATTTTGGCCTACACCTTTTTATTTTATTTCATTTATTTTGTTTCTCTGGAAACTTGACCATTACATAAATAACAAAGGTTTTTAATAGCTGTGGACTTAGGTCTGGTATAGATTTACATTTGGTGAAAAATTTTAAGTAAATAGTTTGATAAAATATAAGCCGGCTGAAAATTTCAAAAGCTTGGTAATTAAAATGGGTTAAAGAAAATCTGATTGGACCATTTAACGAAAAAATACATTTTAAATTTCTAAATATTTGTTTGTGACCCAAATTTTTAGGTCTGATGAATTTATCAGCCTTTTTTGGTTTCACCCCAAAAGACATTTAAAAGCTAGTGGCTGAACAACAGATGAGCTGTTTGACAATATTTATCTGTTAAATCAAAATGTCCTGTATAAATGACTGGATGTTCCCAACAGTCTTTCAAAGTAAAATCATTGGTGCAGATTTCTAAGACTTAAAAAGCCGCTCTGACAAATTGAAACCGATAAATATCATCTAGCAAATGTCATATTGGTTCACATCTTTGTCGTATCTTTACAGCAGTGTGTTCAAATCTGCCCTGCAAAAAAAATGTAACCTGGGTGTTCCACAAGGGTCAAACCTTAAGCCTCTGCTTTTCTACCTATGTATAAATGATTTACTGAATATCTACAGACCCTACCTGCCAACTGTTAGCAGATGTAAGAGCTGATAGTCCTTATCAGGCTGCAGAATTATTAACTCCCAGTACACACAATTAGATTTCCTTTGTTCTGAACTCCTCTTCATCATGTCTTTGACCAGTTTGTTATTAAAAGGGGATATAATACTGGATACTGTGTCTAGTAATGTTGATATTTTTATTAACAATTTTACAAATTTATAATTTTACAAAAAAAAACAATTTGTTTAACCTCTCCCCACTAAAAATCCTTATCCTTTCCTTTATTGGAACACAGGACCAAGAACCTATAAACATATGTGGCCATTTTAAGTTGAAATTGCTGTTGCTGAATACTTGCTTACAAATGTTATATTACAACATGTTTACAATAAAAAAGATAATATCATCAACAACTAATTATACGTAATTTTATATGTACAAATGCTGTTTAACGTGCCATAATATGAGATGATGATGATGAAAATTGTGTAAACTGTTGAAAAAAGTTGGATTGTCTTCTTGTAGCTTGAGGTTGATGCAATTTGGAGTCAACAAAGCATCATGCAAGTACAGGCTGGTTACCATTCTGAGCTAAATACCTGCTCGTTTAAGACACTTCAGATCATCTCTGTTTCCTTCCTCATGCAGGTCCCACACAGGCAGCCGATGAGCCCGTTGATCATCTGAACAGCACAGAGTATCATCTCCAGGCCGCTGGTCACAATCAGAGTGCTGAAGAGTCCAATGTTGAACACGACGATGTTCTCAGGCTCCGTGCACGTGTTCCAGATCGAACTATTACCCAGGTAACTGTCTTCACTGTGAAAAACAAAAATTCTTTGGCATGACCGAAGCTAAAGATGCCAAACAGACACCATCATCTTGGAGTCACATCTGGATCTTACCGGTCTTTGAAAGGCCGCATCCAAACCAGTAACACTTTACAGTAGGGTCCATTCGTCAAGCCAACGGCAGCCACTATGAAGCAGTACAGGGCGCCGGCAACGCCAACCGCAGCAAACAAGATAGACAGGAACATCTGCAGGGAACAGAGGAGTGGGTCACCAACATTTTCTGTTGCTGTTTTCAGAAGTGAGGAGAAGATCCCCAGCTTTACATCCACACAGCAGCATGGGTTTGGTCTCCAGTCAGAAGGAGGAAGTCAATCCTAAACTTAGCATGTGGGGAGAATGTCAGACTCTTTTCTTTTTTCTGAGTCAAGTCAGCATGGTGAGAAATCCTCCTCCTTTTATTTAGAAGGTGATCCACCCTTTTCAATGTTCAAAGTCTTTCTATGTTCAGTTAAATTCAGTTTATCTATATAGCACCAATTCACAACATATGTCATCTCAAGGCACTTTACGATTCAACCAGATCATACAGTCAAACTGATTCAAAGTTTTCTATCCAAGGAAAAAACAGTTGATTGCATCGACTCATTGACTCTCTGCAATCCCTCATACCAAGCATGCTTGTAGTGACAGTGGAGAGGAGAAACTCCATTTCAAAAGGAAGAAACTTCCAGCTTCCATCGGTGTTATATTGTTTTAGCATAGGGGTGTTGTTCTGTTTCTACCAGATTTGGAGATTCAGATAATGAGATTTGACTTGTTTAGCTCAGATTTCTCTAAACCAGGGATTTCCAAGGTGGGGTGCAGGACCACGCGGGGTCCCAAATGGGGGGATCTTCACTGACTGGTTTTCATGATAATTGTCATGATTCCTGATGTATATGGAGATTAAATATACCATGAAATATATACCTGACCTTAACGGGACCATTCTTGGACTGGCTATTTTATTGTAGCTTTTAGGTCTTTAGTCTGCTGGAAGCGGGGCTGTCCGGACTGACTGGATAGAAGCAGGAAAAGCCCATAGTAAGGACCTGGGTGGGACTAATAAGGTCATAAAACCAATCAAATGGCCATGATGGGATGCATAAACATCTTGCTTTTGTTTGTTGTTTTTTTTTTTATAAAGAAAGGCTCTTTTAGCAGCCAGTTAAAAAAAAAAAATCCAGCTCATAGAGGAATAATTAAAGGTTACAGTAAAATAATGCTGTTTACGGAAAAGCGCTGTTGCATTATGTGCCGGATTATGGCGCTACTCATAATCCGTAAACAATACTCTTTCTCCATGGTCTCTCCTAACTCCTCCCAGACCCAAATACCTGCTTGCTGCTTTAGGGAGTCCAAAAAGCCAAACAACTTCAATAAGACCCTTTCAGTTTGAGAGCCTCCCATAATGCTGGTGTCCCTCACTGGGTTTGAGTGTTGAAACCATGACAGACACCACAGACCTCATGGCCACAGCCACAGGCGGCTGCATCAGCAATGGCAGCAGAGAACATGATCCACTCACACTCTGTCTCCAACCTTCCCTGGAATCTGGGAGAAGCTTTACCAGAGGTAGAAGTTGTACATGTTCCTAACTGAGGGCTCCACCAGGATAAATTTGTTCCATGGTAAGAAGATTTCCTAAGATAAAAGATTGCACTGAATATTGTTTAGGGGTTTAAAAATATATATATATATAGTTTTGCTTCTGCATGTTTCATTCAGATTAACAGTACAGGTAATAAGTGGTTAATCTTTGTTAGAGGAACATTTTTGCCTCTTTGATTATTGTTTAATTACTTCCTTGTTGCAATAACAAAGTGTTTATATGGAAGGGACATTTTGTTCAGTAGTTCCCTTTGTTAATCTCTCACTGTTGTTACTTTTTCCTGTGTGACTCACCCCACAGCGATTTCCACAGCAGCCCTGTTTGCCAGTCAGGTGGATGTGAAGTGCAGGGAGCAGCACCTGGAAGGGAGTACGTGTTAGTAAATCATCAGATTTAGATTCATGAATCACAACCTCTTTATTTAAAATATAACAGAAGTATTATGAGAACTTTGTTCCATAATTTCACAAGCAAAGAATACATGTTTTAAATGGAAATTTGATTTGATTTGATTGATTTGGTTTTGAGAGTAACTTTGGTTTCCTTAAGTTTAAAAAAAAAATGTTTTTATCATTCTATTTTTTTCAAACTTTATTTTTATTTTATTTATTTATTTTTTGTTTTTATACATTTTAAAATCTTTCCCCAAAATTTTTCTTTTTCTTTTTTCTTTTTATATATTTTTGGTTTTTATTTTGTGAGAGCATTACAACACAGTGGTAGTTACTTTCAGGGAACTTACAACGTTACCACCCCCACTCACAATTATTTATATATATATATTTTTAGTGTGTGTGTGTTTGTGTACAAAATTATAGACAAAATATACAAAGTTATGTAAATTACTAGGTTGAGTTTTTTTTATTGCATTCTTTTCCAGTTGTGTTTCAGAGATCATATTATCTACACTTCCAGCCCAATTCAAACACTACCTCAGACTAAGATAAAAATGACTTTGCTCCAAACTCCAGAGGAAAATCCTGCCTTCAGAACTGAAACAATTTGAAACAATAAAAAAAGAAAATGTGAAAGAAAACATATTTTTAAAAATTACAATCTGAGAAAATTGGAAAGATACTCTAAAAAACTTTTTGATTCAACTTTCATGTCTGGATTGCATTGTTTTTTTTGTTTTATTTCCATTTACAAAATTTGTTTGCTTGCAAACACAAGTGGAACAAATTTTTTTTTTTACATACGAAATAATAAATCAAAAGAGGATAATGGTTTGAAAATATAAAAATGGGCAAAACAGCTCTGTTATTATCAAAACCTTTGTGGATTAGTAAGTTGCTTTTTTAAAGATTATTTTCCAAATTACTTTTGTTTTTTATTTCCTTTTATTAGAAGTTAGTCAGCAGTAAGATTTAGGCGGTTTTATCCAGATGTGGGCAGATAGTAACTAGTTACTTTACCCTGAGTAAATTTTAGGAAAATAAAAGCTAGTTTTAGTTAGTTATACTCTACGGCAATTTTTATTTACCGTAATTAACATTCCTGTGAGAGTTTTGCTTACCTTACTTGCATATTTTCAGTTTACCCAGTTTGTTTTAATTATTTAAAATGCCAGAATCTGCACAGAACTTTACATTTCGGTCTGTTTTATGTTATGATTTTAAATATCAGATGCTATGATAAGTTATTGAACACTTGAATAAAATCATTTTTTACTCTTACTTGCCAAAGTGTTTTTCCAGAGATAGTGGTTTTCTTCAAAGAAATCTGGGTCACTAAGACGGCTGCTCTGATAATAAACTTGGATAAAAGGATTTATCTTATCATCTTGTTTTATCTTAATGCTCTCAGCTCTGTGTTATATTATTAAATGCCTACAATCAAAATGAATTATAATTTTAAATCTTTTATGCTTTCTGCAATTAAGCGCTTGTTTGTAATTCGAAGCATTGTGTATAAACTATTGTAGCAGAGACTTGTGTGTTTTTCTGTGTGTTTCTGGCCGAGTCGCTGCAATGATTTTACCTTCATGGGATTAATGAAGGTTTCTGTTTCTAATTTCTTAAACGGCTACTTTTTGCTCTTAAGTAGAAATATAATGAAGTGGTGTTGCTGTTGCTTGAGTAAAATTTTGGGAATTCTACCCATCTCCGCATATAAACATTATCTACTGTAATATTGGTTTAATACATATATATATATAACAAATATATATATATATATATATATGTAAAGAGTTTCTTCATTTTAACAATTAAATATTATGAACCAGCAAGGAATACTTGACTAGACATTTTACCGTACTTTTATCTTCCCTACTGTTTTACTCTTAATTAATTTCTTGAATGATTCATTCTTATTTTTATTGAAGTAAAAGATAAACCATTAAAGTATTCTCACTTTGGGTGCTCTACCCACCTCTGATTTTCTCCACCTTAAAATAACCAGAAAACAAGATAAAACTGAAGCCGAAACAAGCAACTCACCAATAGTCCTCCTCCAACGATTCCCCCCATGTAATACACCTCATCCGTAATATGTTTATCTTGGACGTATTTGAGGTCCCCATCAGGGAATAACAGCACAATGTTGCAGATTATGGATATGAGAGCCAGAGGATACAGAGTCACTGCAATGCAGAGGGAACACTTTCCAGTACACATGCTGGCTGGTTGCTGAAATTAAACCTCCTTCTGGTCCACGTTAAGCTCAGGAAGCTTCTCTTTGATACTGGGAAAAATGGACCGTGGTATAAAGGCTGTGGCCTAAATGGTTGGACTGTGGGGGCCGGCGTGTTGATAAGAAAGTCAAACAGAGCCTGGGATAGGCCGCAGAGTGACTCACTCTCTGCTGCCTTGGAGATGCACAGAACATGTTTTGTTGGGTTATTGGAGGCAATGTGGACATTAAGGTTTTATGGTCTTAATCAGACCCTATTATGGTACCTGGAACTTGAGAGACCACACCTTTGAAGTTCATTTTTTTCATGCTGAATAAGGGGGGGGGGGGAATCTTCGTAATTTAATGTAACACACAAGGTTGCTTTTGTTTTTGTGACATGCTGAACATTCTTTAAATATCCGCTCGCTGACAGCGTTTAGGCTTGTTTACTCAGTCACAGTAGGAGCATTCAGGATTTGAACTTTGCACATCCAGCAGCAGATGTACCGGTAAGAGAACAGCACTGGTGTTGGTGAAAAGTATGCAGACTATAACTGGTCAAACACTTTCTCCACATGATGCATGCTTCTCTTTGTTTCTGTGGGGCTGGACTGATTAAAGGGTAGTAGTCTTATCAGTAATGGGAGGGAGTGAGCAATCGGACAAGCCAAAGCTTATGAATTATACCCTTATAAACATGTTTTCGTCTCTGAGCAACATTTGGGCGAGGCAACATTATTCATCCTGATAAGAGTGTCGAATCCTCTTTATGTATCAGCAACTTATGGCAAGACCATCGTTAGTTTCAGCTCACTCTCTTTAAAATGATAAAAGATTTGTAGTTAATGATTGCAAATTTATGAAGAGTTTAGGTTTCGAATCCAAGCAGCAACCAGAGATAAATATTCTGGGATGGCCATTATCAAGGCTCTGAAAGAAAACATGTGAGCAGAGCTGAAATGGTGGGTAATGGAGGAGGGGTGGGTCAAGTTTAAAATCAAACTCTTATGTCTAGTGTTTCTGACTCAAGTTATACAGCTAAATTAAAGAAATAACTCAGAACTAACTTAAGGAATCAGACATGGAGAGACTTGGGTATAATATGAAAGACAATCTGAAGTATTGTTAGACAACTATAAGCCAATTTCTAAGCTTCCCATCATTCCTAAATGTATGAGAAGCTGGTTTATTATCTTTTTTAGGAAGAGCAGGTTTTAAAACTACAAAAAACTTAAAGGGCTCTTTTTAGAGCATTTAAATTAGATACAGATTCTGGTGGCTGGGGGCTTTTTGTTATACAGCATGAAAGACCTGATAAAATTCTTTTAGAAATCACACCTCTCATTTTTCTAGTATAGTTAAGCACAATAAAATCAATAATCCTTTTATACAGCATACTGTATGTTAAGTAGTAGATTTTAATTGTACAAAAGGAAAAGTTGAGTGTTGAGTGTTTGTCATATTTTGAGGAAATAAAAAAAACAGGCTAGTGAAATAAAGAAATGCAAACCAACCGTGTCGAAGTTGATGATATAATTGCCACTCCAATGTTAAATTATTGATCAAATTTTTAAACAAGTTATTTTTTCCTTTCGCTTCCACAACCAGGGCTGACTACTGCTTGATATGTAAATTTTAAGAAACAAGATCAGAGGTGTCAAAAGTATTTATTTATTACTCCAGTAGAAGTATAAATCCTACTGTTTAAAAACACTTGTTGAAGTTAGAGGATAAACTTAAGCTTTTTACTCAAGTAAAAGTATAAAAGTAAAAGTAATGCAGGAAAAAATGTTAAAGACAGAAGCTTTACTGCACTAACCTATTAAAGGAAAAAAGAAATCTGCAATTCCAGATGATAACTTCATTATACTGAATTTTCTGTTTTATAACTAATGGTAATAGTGTTAAATTTAACTTGCATCAACTGCAACTTGCATCAACTTGAAAAAAAAATGTATTTTGGTATATGGTGAACAAAAAGTTACGGCAGCACGGAGTCCCACCACAAAGAAATTTATTGTCTGGATGAAACTAATTATTTTGATGGTTTTTATTTTTTTTAAATACTAACAGGCCATAAAGAAAACAAGATTAAATAAAACTGAACTAACAAGTCTATTTTAAAATGTAAGGAGTAAAAAATTTTCAAAAAAGTTTTACTTCAGTAAAGTTTAGAGAGCCAACATTTCTTCTTAAGTAAGGTGACAAAGTATTTGTACTTTGTTACTTGACACATCTGATTCTACGATAAATAATCTTCATTAGTTAAACCTCATACTTAGATTTAAAAAAACTCCTAACTTGCTATTGTTCTTGAAATAGCTTTAAATTCCTTCTAAATAATTATGTTTACATATGGAGATACAAAAAGAAAAACTAATCTCCATCGAAAAATTTTATTGTGGTCAAAAGTTTTGTATTTTATACAATTCCAAAAGTTTTGACAAAATGTATTATTTCAGTTAAGATTAGTTTTTGTTTGTATAATATTGAGACAAATTCATCCCCATAGTTAGTCATTAAGTAAAAGCTAAAAATAGCACTCTGTGGAGAACACGCTCTTATGGGTTTATCACAAGCAAACACAAAAAACCCAAGCCGCTCTCATTTTGATATAAAAAAAAAAATCTGATTTCCAGGTGATGAGAAAGAAAGTCGGCATTTATCATTCTGAAGGTTACTATGCTTTTCTAAGGTTCTTTGGGGATTCTATTTTTAATGACCACTGTGACCAAAGTATGATGTTTCAAAAGGTTTAGGTGCTTTAACCTCTTTTATAAATCATCATCTAATACAGGGGTCTTCAATGATTTCACGGCTAAGGACCCCCAAACTGATGGCGAGATGGAGCGGGGACCCCTTAATTTTAATATATTGTATGAAATTGTGTTATAACAAACTGGTCCTATAGTCACTCTACTACAGATGCATTCATATAATGAAAGTATTTTCACCCTGGGATTATCCCTGGGATTATCAAGGTATTTCTGATTCTGATTCCTGGTTGATGGGACAGGTGTTGTGAATGAAACAGTGCCCAGCTTGAAAGAGCTCCTGTGTGTCACTGAATGTGTGCATTGATGACTGAAAGACATCTTCTGCCTCCATTTATCTGTTTACTACAGTGTGTTGAATTCATGTTAATGTGCATTTAAATACATTTCTATTAGATGAAAGAAGTGGAGGGGGGAATATAAAAAGAAAAGTCTAATCAAAACTTTTGCAAACCCCATGCTGTACCTCCGTGGACCCCCTGTTGAAGGCCTCTGATCTAATTATTATTATTATTTTTTTTTAAAGAACATCACACTTATCAACCATGGTGGTGGAGGTGCGATAGCCTAGGGCTGCTTTACTGATTGAGGACTTAGAGCACTTAGTGAAATTAATCAAACTGTATGGATAAAAAAAACCCAAGCATGTACAGTACACTCACAATTCTTGTCTTTAAAAGGCATTGACTGCGCTGAACTTTATTGTCAGGAAAGAATTAACTTTGTTCCATAAGTTTTTGCAAACGTACAATTAACTAATATTCATTACTGCGAAACACAGAGCAGGCATTTGATGCAAGATTTCATCTAAAGCTTTATTGAAACTTATTCAAACATGAGAAAAAGAAAATGCAATATAAAACACATCCTTAAAACCAGGAGCCAATTTTTATTAACCCTTCAAATATATTTGGATAAGGAGCAAAACGGACCACATTTTAAAACTCTTTAAAGCAATGTTCTTTTTTTGCATGTGCATTTGCAAAAGTGTAAAGCCTTTAGAATAATATGGAAGTGAAAAAGCTCACACAGTTGGAGAGATTGATATTAAATTGAGCAGTTTCTACAAAGGAAATGAAGAGCTTGATTCCAGACATACATCAGATGATGATGCTACATGAATACAGCCTCTTGAAAGCCTCCTGTCCTTAAACTTGGGGTTCCTGTAAATGAAAGCAAACCAACCAATGAAAGCTAGGCTGATTGAGGAAGTGAAGTTAGGATGTTTGACTTTACCCAGCTTTTCAGACCTCTTTGTTGCAGGTTCCACAGATGCATCCGATGAGGCCGTTGATAACTTGGCTGGCACAAAGAATCCCTTGCAGAATGCTGGCCACCATCAGGGTGACGAACAGACCCATGTTGAACTGAATCACGTTTTTCGGCTCTTCGCATTTGTCCACCATATGTTTTAACAAATGTTCCAGGTTGCTGAGAGTAAAAGCAAAGAGTTAAATGAGCAGTTCTTGGGAACATCACCTACAAAAGCATCTTAACTTGTTACCCTTCTTTAAGAGGGGTTTCCCAAATGCCGTTGGCAGTTTTGCAGAGAGGTCCGTTAGAGAAGCCAAGCATTGCCACGATGAAGCTGTACACGGCTCCTGCAGCGCCCACCGCCGCAAATATGATGGAAAAGAACATCTGTCAACAATTAAATGAGAAGAAGAGGTAAAAAAAACACTAAAGATAAAACTTCTTTACATTATTTACTCATGAGTTTATTTCCCCTTTTCATGTTAAACCATAAGAAGTTTGAACTGATTTCTTATTTTCATCAAAGGCAAAAAAGCTTAAGCTTGGTATCTTTTATTGTATCATAAATGCTTGCAAAAAAATTGCCTACTTATGTTTAACTCTAATATTCTTTTAAACTAATGTTAGAATGTCACGGTCACTGGTGAACTGTGGTTTTGTTATCTATATCAAAAAGACCTAGATGTTGTGCAATGATGATGCAGCACAACACAGCATATTTCTTTGGCCCAACATCAACTGACTAGTTTGCTTTGCTACATGTCTCCCTTATTCTAAAAGCAAAGTTGTGTTTGGTGTCCTGTTTCACCTGAAATTAGCTCTAAATGACTCACCCCAAAGCGATTTGCACAGCAACCTTGTTCTCCAGTCAAGTGAATGTACAGTGCAGGGATCAGCACCTGTGTTTGGACACATTGGGGCGGTTAAGTTGCATAACGGTTGCATTGTGTGTCGTTCACAATTCACCAAACTTCTGTGTTGTTCACAAGCCACGTTGCATCTCAAACCTTACTGCAGTCTACAAGTTATGTTTCTACAAAACGGATGTGAGTTTCTCCTACTAAATAATTTATCCCTTTTTAGCTTTTTTAAAGATGGCAACCATCCCAAGCTAATCCCGGAGAAATATCTTAAAACAGTTTTAATATATACAAAAAAACTTCTTCTATTCAATAAGCTCAATGCTGAACTAATAATATTTTACAAAGTCTCAAACACCTTTCCATTTGGGCAGTCTACTTACCAGAACACCACCTCCGATGAATCCCCCCATGTACTTCACCTCATCAGTGATGTGTCCTTCTTTGACATACTGGGTGGACCAGCCAGGGAAGAACAGCAAAATGTTGCAGATGATGGACAGAAGAACCAGAGGGTAGAGTGTAATCGCAATGAAGAGGGAGCACTTCCCAGTGCACATGGTGTCTGCTTGAAAACTCACCTACTGCAGCAAAAACCTCTGGTCCTGTAAGTTTTAACCCAAATAGTTCCTGTTTTCAGACCAGTCACACTCAGATCATGACCAAAAATGCTGAACGTACTTTTCCTTGTGGTGATGGGTTGTATGACTGTGAGGTAGAAACAGAATTCTTTTACGATTCATTACACTCATGCCCACACTACAAAAACGAGCTAGAAATAAGTACAAATTTCTTAAATTAAGTATATTCACCCTTAATTTGAGTAGGTAAATTAGATGGTTTGGCAATGGAATGAGTATTTTTACTCTTAAAACAAGATAATTAGATAATATGCACTTGAAACAAGAGAATTCAACTGTGTTTTCTTATTTTAAGTGTAAATTGTCTTGTTCCATTGGCAAAATGTATCTTTTTACCTACTCAATTCAAGAACAAATGCACTTATTTTAAGAAAAAATGACTTATCTAGATTTAGATTTTTTGCAGTGCAATTAG